ATCTGTCTAAATCATTATTTAGTTTTGCATCATGTGGAAAAACAATTTAAAACCCATTGCTTCCTTTGATTAGAAACATGATTTGGGTTTTTTTGTTTGGTTTTGGTTTTTTATTTTGTTTTGTTTTGTTTTGTTTTGTTTTTGAGACAAGATCTTCCTGTAGCCCCAGGTGGTCTGGAACCTGCTATGTAGACCAGGCTAGCTTTGCTCTTACAGAGATCTGCCTCTGTCTGCACCACCACACCTGCTAGAGATATGATTTGGGGGAAGGTTTAATTAGTAAGTATGAAGTAGTTAAGTATGCAGTAGTCTGAAGTATACAGTGTAACTACATTCTACAACAATAATATTTCATATTAATTTGAAGTGTTTCCATGACCCCAACACAAAGAAATGATGAACGTTTGAGATGGAAATGGCAGTTACTGACATGACCATCACACACTGCACACCTATATTAAATTACCCTGTAGATGAATACATACAATTACGCGCTAGTTAACTTAAAATCATTAAGTAAACCACTTTTACTTTACTCTAAAAATTTTCTAAAAATTGTTTTTTTGTATTAAGTGATTTAAATTTAAATATTTATCTACTGCTTGGGTTCAGTACAGATTTAGTTTTCAAAAACGTGATTAAGGAAGGCCAAATGATTGGCTCAGCAGGCAAAGTTGCCATGAAGCCTGAATGGGACCCACATGGTAGGAGAAGGCCAACTCCCACAAGGTGTCCTCTCACTTCTATACTCATGCTTTGGTGCACACAGACAGACAGACAGACAGACACACACACACACACACACACACACACACAAATAAAGTCATGTGATTTTTTAAAATATGACTAAAGAAAATAAAGATTTGGCTAAGTGCTATGGAACATACCTGTTATTCTGGCACTTGAGATGTATGGGCAAAAGGATCAAGGCCAGCTCAGGCTATACAATGAGATCTTATCTCAAGAAAAGATGTGGCCGGAGGAGATGGCTTAGTAAAGTGCTCGCCACTCAAGTATGAGGATGTGAGTTTAATTCACCCAAAATTCATTTAAAAAGCCAAGTGCACACTTGAAACTCTAGCACTGGGAAGACAGGCAGGAGGATTCCTAGGACTTGTTGGTCAGTCAGTCTAGCTGAACCAGAGAGCTCAGGGTTCATAAGAGACCCTCTCTGAAAAATAAGATGGAAGTTGGGGGTTCGGCTCAGTGGTAAAGCCCTTGCCTACCATGTTCCAAGTCCCTGGTTCAATCCTCAGCATTACAGCATAAAAGGGGAGGGAGGGAGAGAAGGAGACATCCAACATTGATCTCCAGCCTCAACATACAGAAGCACAAAAATAAAAAGCCACATGCAAGAAAATAAGTGTTCACAGAGTAAAGTGACCGGTGGTGGAACACCTCTGATTATTGACATAATTTTTCTTTGCCTGTCCACAATCCAATCACAAACTTGACTAGCTACCTGAATCGTCCATTCCTTATAAGTGGAAGCTGTTGGTTAATCTCATTTCAGAATCTTCCAGGTTTCTAAATTAAGTCTCAAATGTTATTTTCAAAATCTCACACTGTTCACCATCATACCCATTAAATGGAGTATATAAACCTATTAGTCTACTAAGTTTTATTTATAGTCTAAGTACTTATTTAGAGATAAGTAGGTTGCCTTTATTTAGCAATCAACTCTTGAGAAGACAGTTGACCTGCAATTAACTGACCCAAGTTGAAAGGAAACATTGTACAACTGATCTCTTAACCAGCTGGATTATTTATCAATTCAACAGAAAACTGTGAACAACCCCTCTTCTGGCAGCTCTTTCATGAATGGAACGAGAAGCTGGTAGAGTCACATCCCCATTTTCCTACAAGTCTAATAAGGCCTCCTTCTCCTTTCAACTCCAATTTCTAGTAAAAGAAAGCTTTACCTTTGATCAAGGCCTTCCACACCCCCTCATTCACAAGAGACATCAACAGCCTCAACCAAGTAATGCCCTGAACTGTTAGCAGAGCCAAAACAACATCTAAACCTTGTTAACTGGATCTTACACTAATTCCTGCCTAATAGCAGCCAGCTTCATTTTTTAACAGGTAAGAGCCACCAGAGACAGTAAGCAAAGTTTTAAAAGATAAAACAGCTTTCTGTGAAATTTCATTTTGGCTTTTTTCTACCATATTATAAGTGAAAGTTACATTTTTTTTTTTGTAAATTTTTTTGTGGGTTTTTTCAAAGGTTTTTTTAGATTTTTATTTTTTTTTGATCAAAGTCACATTTTTTTCTCCCTGAAATTATATTTTGTTCTTGCTGGCTTGTGACATGGCTTCCCTATACCCCTTGCTAGCCTGGAACTTGCTACGCCTTGATCTCACAGAGTTCCACCTGCCTCTGCCCCTCTGCTCCTCTGCCCCTCTGCCTCTGCCTCCCTGGGTGTTGTGTTTTGTGGGTTTGGTTTTTTTGTTGTTGTTTTTGTCTTTTTTTCAATTTTTAGAAAGTTTTATTCAGTTACTCAGTTAGTGCGTGGGGATGTACATTCATGTGGAAGTCAGAGGACAACTTGGGAGAGTCAGTCCTCTCCTTCCACTACCATGTGTGTACCAGGAACCAAACTCGGGTTGTCAGGCAAGCACCCTTACCCACAGAGACATTTCTCTGACCCAAAAAAAATGAGTTTTAGATTAAATATCATGTGTGCTCTTCCATATTCTTGTTCCCCTTAATTATTTACAATAATTTAGACAATCTGTAAACCCTTGAGATTTAATTATTTTAAATTTCACATATATGAAATTAGGCCATTTTTGCATACAAAGAATATGACTTCCTTGGTTTATAAACACAGCATCAAACATGCTCTTTGAGCAACACACACACTAACACGTATCAACAGGGCTTTTTCCCTCCTTCTGAAGGCACCACAATTAAAAAAGGAAGGAAATGGAAATAAGGGGGGAGAGGGAGAACAGACTTAGTAAACTGCACATACCTGGTCATGGTAGCTGGTACCAGAGCTGCTATTTGCCCCGCAAGGTGCTTGTACTTGAGGAGGTCTTTCCACAGGGCAAGTAGGATCACTAAAGGAAGGAGAAACTGGGACAGCTGGGTGGGGAGTATGGTGGTGGTGGTGATGATGCTGGAAGTGGTGGCCATGCTGCTGAAAGCAACTTGAGTGTGGATGTCCTAATGCATGGTGACTCTGTGATGTCCCTCCACATGGCGAGTGCTGGGGACAGCAGGAAGGTAGCCTTGGCATTGCAGGAGGGCCAGTTTCTGTTACAGCACTAGATGTAGATCTCCTTGAGTCATCTTGAGACAGAAACAAATGCAAAGTATAATCAAATCATCCAGTGTCATCATGTAAAAATAAGTACTGTGTACTAATCTTTGTAAATAACATTGTGACAGTGGCTGATGAGGCAGCTCAGCAGGTGAAGGTGCTTGTAACGAAGCTTGGCAACCTGAGTTTGATCCCCAGAACCCACATGGTAGAAGGAGACCACCAATTCCCTCAAGTTGTCTTTGACCACTCTGTATGCACACTCACACATGCATATATACATATTCACACAGGCATGTGCATAAATAAATAAATAAATAAATAAATAAATAAATAAATAAACAAACCTCTTTTTGAAAATAAAACAAAAAGGAATGTGATAGTGTCATATACATAACACATACACACCATATAATAGTAGTAGTCTCCACTGTAATTTTTTTGAAAATATGAATTCTTCAGGTGGTTCATATTTATCATGATACATAAATCTATTAAGAGATCATCTTTTCTTAGCTTCCAACAAATCATTTGTTATCAGTAAAGCTAGTTTAAAATTTCTAAAATATATATATTCTTTCATTATGTGCTACAAAGCAAAGTATCTTCTGAACTCTATGAACCATTAATTCCATACACCATTTTCCCAAAATGCAGACCACTAGGTACTTAAAATCTCATCTTCTGAAGTCATAAGCACCCACCTCAAAGTACCTGAGAGTCGCTAATTGCCAGTTTCCTTTCATTTCCACTGGCTTCTAAACTCAGAAACAATGGAATATATACAATAATAAAACTTTAATATCTAGAAAATAAGATGTGAATGATAAGCTAATAAACTGGTATTGTACAACAGACAGAAACTACAGGAAGTTACACAGACTTGAGCTCTAATCCTGGGGCTGAACACATTTTTCCATTTTAAAAATTATTTATTATTACTATTGTGTTATGTATGATGGGGCCACGTGTATACAAAAGCACATGTGTGGAGGTTGGAGGACAACTTTGTAGAGTCTGTTCTTTCCTTCCACCTTTATATAGGTTGTAGGGATTGAACTCAGGTCATCAGGTTATACGGCAAGTGCGTCATCAACTGAACACCCTGCCTCCCACCCCTTTTCCTTTTTAAAACTAAGCAACCATAGTTGTCCTGGAACTTGTTACATAGACCAAGCTGGCCTCAAACTTGCAACGATTTTCTTGCCTCAGCCTCTAAGTGCTGGGATTACAAGTATGCACTACCATGCTTGGCTTCTGAACCCCTATTTCTGAGATAAAATAGTGGCTTCAAAAAGACTAGCTCTAGCATCGCATAAATACTGGGACAAATTTGAGCTATCGTTATCTAGAATGCAGGATCTGCTGGATGAAAATTTAGGTTCTGTCCCCCTTGGAAGAAAAACAAATTTCACAGACTAGAAAAAATATCTAATAATACAGTATGGACTCACCAGATATTTGCTCAACAAATGAATTTAGATAGAATGCATACATAATTCAAGCACATGCAGAGGCTACAAAAATGAGCGGTTTTACACATATTGAGTTTGCAAGTGCCTGCAAAATGGTCCAGGGGAGATGTTGAACAGGTAGTTAGGTATTAAAGTTAAAAGGACAATGGTCTAAAATTACAGAATGAGCTAGTGCCCTACTGGTAACAGTTGTAAACATTTGCAATCATGAAATGGGCCAGTGTGAAGAGGAACAAGCACACCCTTTCCTAGTATTCGAGGGAGATGATTACCAGATTTGTTTTATTCTTTTCAGAAGTCAGAAGTACACTGAAGAATGAGGACCCGAGAGGTGGCTCAGAAGGTAAAGGCACTTGCCACTAAGCCTGAGAACCTGAGTTCAACCCTTGACCCCATCTGGTGGAAGGAGAGAACTAATTCCTGCACACTGTCCTCTGATTTCTATGGACAGCAGGGCAAGAAAGTATGTGCACACATTCAGAAAATTCAAAGCAATGTAAAAAAAAAAAATTCCACCTAAGTGTACACATACATACCAATGTACCTGTGCATACACTAAGCAATGGGGCCAGTGAATACACTGAAGAAAACAGCATCATCACTTAAGGCTAGGAGACAGTTAAAGGAATGTTGAAGAGATAGTAACAGATCAGGAATTTGGAAAGGGCTGGTGACAAAGTACAAAGGTTTTTAGGGAGTGTTAAATGCTGTAGGACTTCATGTTTGAGAATCTTACTCATTTTTTAATTCATCTCCCAGGGGAGATGAAAGCCTTGGGAAAAAGGAGAGAGTTTTAGAAAATCACAAAAGGGAAGAGAAGTGATGGAAATATCTAATACTGAGGCCAGTAATTACATCTCTACTGACTACTACAAACTTCCACAGGCAACAGCATGTTTGGCATCTAACGTTTACCAGGACAATTTAGGAACCTGGGAAAGAGTGAAACCAAATGAACCAAGTTTGGAAATCTGTATAAAGCAAAGAAAACACACTACACAAGAAAATAGCTGAACTGACATTCCATATGGTCTTGGAAGGAAAAAAAGCAAGCAGAATTCAATGGCTGTGCTGGATAGCTTTAGTGTCAACTTGACACACCTGGGTCGACGGAATCTCAACTGGAGAATTGCCTCCATTGAACTAGCCTGTGGCCATGTCTTATGAAGCATCTTCTTGATTGTTGTGATGTGGGAGGGACCAGCCCACGGTGGGTGGTGCCACCCCTGGGCTGGTGGGCCTGTGTTGAATAAGAAAGCAGGCCAGGGAGCAACCAGTGTTCCACCATGGCCTGTGCTCCAGTTCCTGCTTCCAGGTTCCTGCCCTGAGTTCTTACCTTGGGCTCCCTGATGAACTGTAACCAGGGAGATGTAAGCTGAATAAAACCTTTCCTCCCCAAGTTGGTATTGGTCAGAGTATTTTTGTCACAGCAGTGAAGAACAAACTAGGACAATGGCCTTAACGTGGTGTGACTACCTAGACCTGCTTTTTATCAGGTTTCTGTAGAACAATTTGATCTGGAACAAATATCTTGGTACAAAGAAATACAACGTGAACAAATCTTTCTCACAAATGGTCAGGAGTATAGAGTAATATCAAGAAAGCACTTTTAGTGAGCTGGAGAGATGGCTCAGTGGTTAAGAACACTGACTGTTCTTGTAGAAGACCTGGGTTTGATTCCCAGACCCACATGCAGGATCCCACGCTTTCTTCTTACCTCCATGGGCACTGCACAACACAGGTGCACTTACATGCAGGCAATACATTCATACATGTAAAAAATAAAATAAAGCACTTTTAGAGACTATATTGGAGTTGACAACTAAAAAATTATTGAGTTGGGATAGAATGAAGGCATCAAATAGTCATACTGAATACATAAATAAAAGCTTTAAGACAATTTTGAAGTGAGGATGGGACTATGTGACATACAATGTAGGTAGGAATGAGACTACCTAAGGTTACCAGTGAAGAGAAGTGAATGAGAAGAGTTCAAATCCCTGTTGCAAAGATTGCTCCTGACCTTAATCAAGTATTTACTCTGGGGGCTGGAAAGATGTTAAGAGCACTTGATGCTCTTTCAGAGGGTCAGAATTCTGTTCCCAACACCCATACTAGGAGGCTCACATGACCCGTAACGCTGGTTCCAAGGGCACCCACACACATGTGGCATACACACATACACATGAAGAAGAATAAATCTAAAATAAATAAAAAGGGCTCAAGAGATGGCTCAGCTATTAAGAGCATATACTGCTCTTACAGAGGACCTGAGTTTGACTCCCAACACTCATGTTGGGCAGCTCACAACTACCTTTAATTCTAGTTGGGGTTGGGGGGGTTCTGATGCCTCTGACCTCTGTGGACAACTGCAATAACATGCACATACAGAAAGAAACACACAGAAACACACAGACACACACACTCACACACACAGACACACACACACACACACACACACAATTTAAAATCAAAATAAAATCTTTTAAAAATACATATTTACAGCCAGGTGTGGTGGCACATGCCTTTAATCCCAGCACTCAGGAGGCAAAGACAGGCAGATCTATGTGAGGCCAGTCTGGTCTACAAAGCAAGCTCCAGGCTAGCTGTGGCTACAGGGAGACCCTGTCTCAAAACCTCTTCCCCCCTCAAAAAAAAAAGAAAAAAACTTAACTTTGAGACTTCATATAAAATGGGAATGCAATGCCAGTACCAAGACATTTTAAAGCATTAAATGATAACCAAAAGTATATAAGATACCCAAGTAGAGCCCTTCAAGAAAGAATATGCAAAGGGCTGGAGAAATGACTCAACAGTTAAGAGCACTATCTGTTCTTGCAGAGAATCCGGTTTGATTCCCAGCACCCACATGGTGGCTAACATCCATCAACTCCAGCTCTAGGGGATTCAATGCCCTCTTCTGACATCCATGGGCATTGCACAACATTGGTACACTTAAATACATACAGGCAATATACTTATACACATAAAATAAAAATAATACAATATTTTAAAAAGAGAAAAGAAAAAGAATATGCACTCAACAAATGAGATGAGCTAGTCCATTTCACTTCTACCTACATTTCTTTTTCAGAGAATACAGTATTTGATAGTCATAGTGGGAAATCTCCCTATAGATGGTTCTCAATTTTAATTCTCTCCTTAGTTTCCCAGAGAAGGGGAGTCTTTACTAATCCACCCTCAACTAATTTCCAAAGTGCTCAATAACAATCATGGAGCTGACAATTAAATGAAACACTACTGTCAAAAGCAAAATGTATTATAAAATATGAAATGGTCATTAAAATAGTGATATAGTCAGTTTATGAGTACAGCGTCTATGGTGTACGTCCTTGTTACTAAAGAGCTAGCAATTTTTTGTGTCTGCATCACTGTCCAAGACAGAAATACAGCTATCTTAAAGTTCAGTTAAACAGAGAATGGGAGAGAGAGAGATACAACTGCAAACTCAAACACAAGAAATAATATTTTAAGAGCTAAAATTACAAAACTGTTTAGGGCTGGGGATGTAGCTCAGTGGTACAGTGCACACGTAGATATACAAGGAAAAAATTCTTGACTTTGGGTTAGGCAAAGGTTTCTTACTTATAATGCTAGAAGGAAAAACAATGAAAGTGGAAAAAATGGACAGATACCATTAGGACTTTTAAACTCCTACCCCCATTTTAAATTATTTTTAGTGTGTGTCTAGGAGTGGAATTGGTACGTTGTCCAGGAATTTTGATTTTTATTTTTGAGGTAGAGTCAATGTGTTTTTCTCAGCAGCTGCACTGTTTTGCATTGCTACCAACATCTCACAGAGTTCTCATTTCTCTACACATGGCCAGTTGTAGTCATTCAGCTTCTGTTTGTTTAAAATGATAGTCACCCTCACAGGTGTTAAGTAACCATGGAGTTCAGGGTGGTTCTGATTTGCATTTCATTAATGGATAGTGATGCTAAGCATCTTTACAAGTGATTCACTGGTCATTCCTCATATATTCTAAATACTAGAACTCATATCAGACATATGACTTGTAAATATTTTTCCACATTCTGTAGACTGTTTTTTATTATCCTGATAAAATTCTACTTACCTAATTTGTCTCTTGCTGTTCACGCATTCAAAGTCAGCCATTTGTTTTTCCTCAGGTTCTTAGTTATATCAAAACACTTTGGTCACACAGCACACAAAATTCAAATATGAAATCATAGTCTAATTCTAATAAGCACTATTTTGCTCACATATGAAAGTAAGAATACGTTCTTGCCAACTTTCTTACATACCTCCCACAGAAGAACCAGTCGTACTATTGCTTGTAAGAGTAGCTGAAGTCTCTGATAGTGTGGAAGGTTGGCTACTAGAGACAGCTGAAGCAGTATCAGAGGCTTGCTCAGAGGTAGATGGATTTGAAGTACTAATGGAAGCGCTAGTCATTTGTGAGTCCATTCTCACTGAAGTGGTTGGTACTACAGTAGGTTCTACAAAACACAGAATGTCTACTTAGCATTTCACAACAGATCAAATAACAGGTTGTACTTTAAAACAAATTAACTCATTTTTTCCTTTGAAATAGGATCTTCCTAAATATATGGCTCAAGCTGGCCTCAAGCTCAAAATTTTCCTGCTTTGGTCTCCCAAGTGCTGTGATTATAGGTACGTGCCCCACGCCTGGACCAAGTTAATATCTTTTTTGTGTTTTTCAAACATTATTTTATGTGTATGAGTGTATTGCCTGCATGTATGTGAGTGCACTCGTGTCGTGCAATGCCGAGGAGGTCAGAAGAGGGCTTCAGATTCCCCTGGAACTGGAGTTAAGGACGGTTTGTAGCCACCATGTGGATGCTGGGAATCGAACCCAGGTCCTCTGCAAGAGCAGTCAGTGCTCTTAACCGCTGAGCTATCTCTCCAGCCCCCCAAGTTAATATCTTAACAATAATGACTAAAATTTTTTTAGAAATCAAGCATTAAGAACAAACTTTCTAGTAAGAATAACACAAAGAAAGCTTTCTTTAAAGCTTAGCTGCAATATAAAACTGAAATGTCACTAAAAGATGAGAACTGCATTTAAGAACCCTAACTTGTGTATATACAATCCAGTGAAACAAATGGTTAAAAAGTTTTTCAGGTAGGGAGAGCTAGGGGTGAATCTCAGTGGTAGCAAGTGAGGCCCTTGGTTTGACCCCCAGTGCCAAGGGGAAAGAAAGTTTTGGGGAACTACAAAGTTTTCTGATCTATTTGTGACAAAGAACAGAATGAAAGTTCTATTGCAACGACCATTTCCATGCTCACAACTATCAAAACCATGCCACAAACTACACTTTCCTTGGCACAGTATGAACTCTACGGCCAGGCTGCTTAGAGAGCCAATTCTGATTTCACCACACAGAGTGACAATGGTCAAGTTACCACTCTCCATATACCTCATCTGAAGAACTGGGAAAAGTAAGAGAAGTTTCTTCAGAGACTGTTAAGACAGACTGAACATTCATAATGTACTTAACTACCATCCTTTACATTCAGCAACCACTTCATAAACATTAGCTATGAATTACTTATATTTACATTAATCTCACTTTCCATGCCTTTATATGTTTTTGAAAGATTTTTCAAATATAAATAAAACATAAATATTTCAAGAATAGTGATACCAATACTTTCTAATGAAAATTAAAATATGAGTGAGTTAAATTTCAAAAATCTAATCACAAAACGGTCATTTAAGGTATTTTATCAAATTCCCTTCATAATTCTACAGCTACAAGTCCAACTTACCATCTTCATCAACAGTAAGATCCACAACTTCTGCTGCATTCTGCCTCAAGGGCTGTATCACAGTAGAAACCCTACTGCGATTCCGTGGCTCTTGTGGCCGACCTGTATGTGAACTCGACCCTTGGCTCCAATGAGATCTGGAGTGTCCAAGAGTTGAACGAGACCTTAAATGATGTTAGATCAAGTTAGTAAATATAAATGAGGGACAGATTTATGTTTAGTCACCCTAGAAACTCATATACCATCTTATAAAAGAGTAAAATTCTTCACTCAAGATTTCTCCAAAGAAATAATGGTCAGAGAATTTTTTAAAGAACAACTAGAACAATGTCAGGCACTCAATAAACAGGTGAATGAACACATCACCAAGCAAATGACCAAAGCCGATTAGAAATGCTCCTAGATCAACCACTCATGCAGAAAAAGGAGAATGCTGTTTCAGGAACACTGCTCTCTCTGTTATTTCGAATAATCTGGGTTATAATCAATTATTTGTATTTTATGGTAAAATGCCAAATTATTCACTATAATAAAAGAACACATACAAAATGCAGTCCACAATTATATCCATACAATCTTCTACATTTAGCCCTAGATTAGATTTGAAAATTTGACTTTGGAATCCTAAACCAAGCTATTTATAGTCCTATCCTAAAACAATACAAAGCAATAAAGAGACACCAGAGAGATTCCTCTGGTTACTTTATTAGTTTAGAAGTTAGGAGAAAAAAAAAAAAAAAAAACTTTCTTGAACTACTTTGTGACTTTTAAAACATTTGATCACAACCCACTTTTATTTTCCTCATCTGGGGGTAAGGAGGGGAAGAATCGTTAGTACAAATATGTTTAAACATTTCTCTACATAGTTTATTTTGATCATATTTTGACACCCCCCCCCAATCTATACACACCCTTACTATCCCCTGCCCAATTTCAGGTCCTCTTATTAATTTTTTTAAGGCCTCTGGTCAATCCACCCAGTGTCAAAATTCAAGTTTACAACTAGGAATTAAAATCTTACCGATAGCTTTCTCCAACTGTAACAATCTCCACTTCACTGTCAGTTGAGGTAACATTAATTTCTTCGTTGGCAGTGACCTGGGGAGTGAAGGAAGCTTCTATCACCACAACATCTTCATCAATACTTCCTGGAAGCAAAAAGAAAACATATTTAAAGGGCATGTGTAGATTAAATGCTAGACAGCAATCTTTATTTTTACTATTAAATTCATACAAAAAACAATAGAGTGTTGTGTAGTAAACTTTTTAGGATAGTCAAGAGATGACACTTAGAGTCAAAGTTGCTATGGCTTCAAAGATGTTAAGGGTGAAGACAAAGGACAGGAGAGGGAATAAAGGAGCCAGAAGTAAGAGGGCATTTCAGATGGAAATGGCACCCAAGTGGTGAGTAGCTATTCTCATTAGTTTCTGTAAAGAACATGAGCTTTAGAACTAGAAAATCAAGGCTAAATTCCAAGTGTTCTTTTACAGTGTATTTGGCAAATCTTTTAAGTTTTCAAGTTTAATTTCTCCTTTTTGTTCTTATTTTTCTTTTTTGGTCTTTTTGAGATAGGATCTCCCTGTAGCCCCAGCTGGCCTGGAACTATGTAGACCAGGCTCACCTCCAACTCCTAGAGATCCTCCTACCTGTGCCTCCCAAGTGCTGGGATTAAAGGTATGCACCACCATGCCCAGCAGTTTCCTTTTTTAAGGTTCATTTTATTTTCTAATGGGATGGGGGGGGGGGTGGTTAATGTGCATTTGAGTGCTGGTGCCCAGAGGCCAGAGGCATTGGATCTCCTGAAGCTAGAGTCACAGGAGGTTGGGAGCCACCTGATATGGGTGCTGGGACTCAAACTCAGGTCCTCTGGGGGAGCCATACAAGCTCTTAACTCTGAGTCATCGCTCCAGTCCAAAGTTTAGTTTCTTAAACAACAGACATGCAAGATATTGTACACAGCACAAAGGATGAACCCACAAATCAGAAATGTACATCAAGTGGGTGAATTTGTTTTCTTACTCTCAGTGTTTAAGAGAAAAACCCCAGAACAAGAAAGATGGATCACTTGCACAGGACCCAAGTTTGATTCCCAGCATCCATGTGGCAGCTAACAGCAGAAGAGGGGATTCAACGCCCTCTTCTGACCTCTGAAGAAAATGTACAACATGGGTGCACTTAACATACATGCAAGCAATACACTCATACACATAAGATAATAAATAAAAAAACAGGCGTGGTGGCTAACTTTTGTACAGGTGACATTAGAAAGAAGCCTTTCCACAGCAGATCTGTGAAAAGTCCAGAAGTTGAAAAATGGAGCATACCTTTGTAAGAACCACTGCAACCATTTTAAGTCCAGTTGCCTTAAGTTCAGCAACAATGGGTGGGCATACTCAGACTACTGTGAAGGGAGTTCCAGAGATTTACCACATTGCAATCTAACAGTCTACCAGCTATACCCTTCCCTCTCCAGCACCCCATAATCACCATTCTACTGTTTGTAGTAAGAAGTCAAACACTTTGTAAAATATCCAACAGAAATGAAAAAAACAGACATATTTAGCCAGGCATGGTGGCACATGCCTTTAACACCAGCACTCAGGAGGCAGAGGCAGACAGATCACTGAGAGTTCGAGGCCAGCCTGGTCTACATAGCGAGTTCCAGGTCAGCTGGGGCTACAGGGAAACCCTGTCTCAAAAAGACAAAACAAAAACAAACAAAAAAAACTTACATTAACATTTTGTAGATAAAACTCAAAATTAAAACATTCCAATCCTATCCTAATATACACTAAAACATACTTCACTTAGTAGTAGTACCTTGAAGTTCTAGTTTTACCACTATGACATTCTGCCGGTCACTATTCATGTCAATACTTTTAATAATGTCAGTATTCAAAATAGGTCTACAAAGAAAGAAAACTATCTCCAAAGAATCTAAGAAAATCAATTCTTTGAAAGAGCTGAGATTTTTAAAAAAATAGAATTAAGTTTCATTGATATTTCAATTTATTCTGAATTATAAAACATTCTAAAATGATTTTCCAAATGTACCATCTGTAACAAACACGAGAACAATAACAGAATCCATCTTGTGAGAGTAGTGGGAGGGTTAAATGAGAGCACACATAAAATACTCGCAACTTTACTGGGACAGAGTAAGCATAAAACAAGCCCAGGAGTCATTATTATCTTCAGGACATCATGCATTGCTGGGTAGCAAAGGAACTGGAAGCAAACTCCTTCAAAAGCATTCTGGTAACAGCAGCAAGTAACATTTTAATACATATATATGTGACACATTTTTAAATATTACTATTTAAATATGCTTACATAGGTGTGTAAAAAATTGTGCAGCAAATATTCATCAGTAAAAGCTGGTTAAATAAATTACAGAACACTTTATATATTATGGGAACTAGGACTGAAGAAATTAAGCATGCAGGTATGAAAAGGCCTACACTATTCATTTTTGCATATGCTTTCATACTTAACAGCTGTTATTTCTGAGCAGTAAGAATAGAATCTCACTGGACGTGGTGGTGCACACCTTTAATCCCAGCACTTGGGAGGCAGAGGCAGGCGGATCTCTGTGACTTTGAGGCCAGCCTGGTCTACATAGTGAGTTCCAGGTCAGCTGGGGCTACAGGGAAATCCTGTCTCAAAAAAAAAAAAAAAAGAAGAACAGAACCTCTTGTTCCCAGGTTTCTGGATCCAAAAAAAAAAAACAGAATAAAAGAAAAGAAAAGGAATCTCTCTGGCGCTGGGGCTGCAGAGACAGCACAGTGGTTATGAGCAGTGATTGCTCTTGTAGAGGGCCTGGGTTCAGTTCCTAGCACCCACATAGCAGTAAACAACTGTTCTTAACTCCAGTTCCAGGGGGTCTGAGGCCCACACATGTGACACACATACATGCAGGCAAAACATTCATATATATAAAATAAAAATAAATAAATTAAAAAAAAAAATGTACAAAATGGTTAATCTACAAAAGAAAAAAATCTGACCAGACACAGTGGCACACACTTTTAATCCCATCAGAGACAGGTAGATTTCTGTGAGATTGAGGCTAGCCTGGTCTATACAGCAATATCAAAGCCAACAGGAGCTACAGGAAATTCTGAAGGCTGGAGAGATGGCTCAGCAGTTAAAAAACGTGAACTGCTCTTCCAGAGGACCCAGGTTCAATTCACAGCACCCATATGAGGCAGCTCATCACTACCAATAACTCCAGATCCAGAAGGATCAGGCACCTCTGACCTCCAAGGGCACCTGCACATAATATGCACTTATCCACACACAGACATACACAGAGACACACATACATACATATATCTAAAATAAAGAAATAAATTCTGACTTTATTTTCACTAGAAAGTCCTTTAGTATCTTAAAATTAGAGTCATAGTTCAATTTATTATGGCAATTTGCTTACACAGTTTAAGAATAAAAGTTAAAAAGAACTTGGTTCTTCTGAAATATCACAGGTGCACAAAGTCACAGACTCAAACACCAGGCAGTATTTTCCAATTTTACTCCAACCTCACCTGAGGGAGCAGCTGGATTGCTCGGATGGTTTTCACTGGCAGAAACAAACAAATCTTCTTCTCCTTCCGTGGATGAGCTGGAAGAGGACTCGCTGCTGAGGTCATTTTCACTGGAACTACTAGAGCTAGGTAACAACGCGTATTTTCTTTGGGCTAATACTTCCCGTTTTTTCCTCTGCATTAATATCCTCTCTTTTTGTTTTTGTGTCCTCTGTGAGGAACTATTTTTCACAAATCTCTTTCTGTATGGAAGTCTCCTTAATGAGCTACTGGGAATACAAGGTCTTTTCATTAATAATCCTGATACAGATTCTGTCTCTGTCCGAGGCCACTTCTGGGACCGTGCACTGTGACTTTTGCTTTTAGCACTAAGAATGGTCTGTGAATGTCTTACAGAGACTTCCTTATCCTCATCTGAAGTCACAGTATCAGAATCTCCAAAATGAAGACTAGATGAGGGAGAAGATAGACAATCACTGAAGGAGGAATCGTTTTCTTCATCACTTGGTGTCTCTAGATGTTGCCTCAATCCTAATATTCCCTGATTTTCTTTAACACAATTCTGCATATAAGACGGGCCAGCCTGCTGGCTTTTGCGTTTTTTCCTCACAACAACACTTTTTTCTTGTTCTTGCTGTTTGTCATTCATGTCCTTCTCTTGTTTCTGAGAATCATCACACAAGTGAGAGAATTCATTCCCCACTTTACTATTAATCATCTCCACTTCTACAGGAAAGCTTCCAGCTGCCCTGATGGGCTGTGGGTGCAGAAGGATCCCTTTCAGACTCCCCTGTGTCTTTGGTGCATCAGAAGGAATCTCACTCTTCATATCCACTTTCAAAGTATAGAGCTCGTTATAGTCAGGAGTCCATTGAGACATGGGAAACTTTAAGGAAGGCCTAGAAGACACAAGGAGATATTTAAAAGACAACACATTTTAATTACACTATTTAACTTAAAACTTCCAAAATTCCACTGAGAGTATCTCTTTTAATAGAGCAGATCTACCTTATCTTTCCAGGACACAAAATGGCTATAATGAGGCATTTTACTATTCCTATAAAATATTTTTCTGACATCAAAACTTAGTATCCTAATATTCAGAAACACAGTAACCAGCATAGACCTACTTGACAACTTTCATTAGCCAAACTGAGTCTTACTATATAATCTGCTAGCTTTTGCAATATAGAAATAGAACACTTTCTTTAAAGCTTTATTTATTGAAACTAGAGAAAAGAATTAGAATTCAAAAAACTATAATCTACCCAGCAGCAATCACACTACTAGACAGACATCCAAAAGGAAATCAGTCTGTTGAAGAGACATCAGTACTCCCACACATTCACTGCAGCATCAATCACAATAGCCAAGAAATGGAAAGCACCTAAGTGTCCATTAGATGATGAATGGATCAAGAAAATGTAGTACATACATAAAACGGAATACCATTGGCCCATAAAAAAAATGAAATCCTGTCATTTATAATATGAATGTAATTAAAAACCAGTATGTTGAGAGAAATAAGCCAGGCAGAATGACAAGCAGGGCATGATCTCATCCCGTGTAAAATCTAAAGAAGTTGATTTCATAGAGGTTGGGAGTAGAATAGATACCAGAGGCAGGAGAAAGGGGTAGGGATGGGGAACAAGGGAAAGCTGTTTAATGAGTACTAGTAATAGTTAAATAGGAATAAGAAGTTCTGGAATGATATTGTACAGTAAAATGATTAGAGATACATAATACATTGTATATTTCAAAAAGCTAGAATATTATGAACATTTATACCAGTGAGAAATGATGTTTGAGGAGACATACCCAACTAACCTGATTTAAACACTACACTACGTATACATGTATCAAAACTTCCAGAGTACTCTATAAATACAGACAATTTTTAAGTATCATTTAAATATAAATTTAAGGATGCCAGTCGTGGTGGCGCACGCCTTCAATCCCAGCACTTGGGAGCAAGAGGCAGGTGGATTGCTGTGAGTTCCAGGCTAGCTGTGGCTACAGGGAGACCCTATCTCAAAAAGACAAAAAAAAAATACATAAATAAATAAATAAGTATATAAATTTATTTGAGGGAAGAGCTTGCGAGGCTGCACTCCTGGGCAGTGGCAGAAAATCGTTCCTGGAGAAGGAGGTATCTTCTTCAGTAGGTAGCCACTGTTAAGCTGCCAGGTTCCTGTGAACAACCCTAATTAAACTCGTTAATTTAACAAAAAAAGACATGAAAGTAGAAAGGGGACTACTTGGGAAGAGGAAAGAAATCAGTGGGAGAGCGAGACAAGAAAAGATAACTGGGGATGAATATTATCAAAATACATTATATATGTATGAAAATGTCATAGCAAGTCATTATTATGCATATTATTAGTGTGTAATTAACATATGCTAATAAATTTTTGAATTTTAAGAAAAAATAAACCATAATAAAATAATTCAAAGCCAGATGTGGTAGCATACACCTGTAATCTCAACACTTTGGAGGGTGAGGCAGGAGGATTTTCACAAACTCAAAGCCAATCTAGGTTACATAGTAAGACCCTGTTTCAATCCACCCCCCCCCCCCCCGGGACTACTCAAAAAGTAGTTCAAAGACTAGTTTGTCAGTATGTGCTGTGGAATACTGTCCTCCAGGCATGACATGACGACTGCCCCCCTGAACTGTCAGCAGCTGTGATTGCCAGGAATCCTATACAAGACTGGGCCCATTAACTTCCCCTCATGGAGGGAGGAGGGGCTCACAAGGCCCACCTCTTCCTAAGGAGTTAGAGATAGTTAACCCCTGCTAAAGAGAAGGGGATCTTGAGTCATGCCCTCAGGATTTATAGGCAGTTAACAGCTGGTAGGCAGAGGGGGTTCACAAGACCACATTCACAGTCAAGGATTTATAGGCAAGTTTGCTGCTGCTGGGAGAGAGATTTTTTTTTTTCTTCTGTAGTATAGCCACCCTTTGTCTACACACTCCAAGTAACCCCAGGTAAATTCATTGGTTCACTAAGCCACAGCTGAGATTGTTTTTTTCTCTCATTGGTGCCTTATGTGGGCTGAGTAAACATCTGTTCATGTATTCTCAGAAAAGTTCAAACATGTTTTCTCTTAGTATGCCTTTTGTTGTTGCTGTTTGGTCTTTTTCAGATAAGGGTCTCCCTGCAGCCCCAGCTGGCCTGGAACTCACTATGTAGATCAGGCTGGCCTTGATCTCACAGAGATCTGCCTGCCTCTGTCTCCCCAGTACTGGGATCAAAAGCATGCACCACCATACCCAGCCTTTAGTATGGCTTTTTAAAGTGGTACTTGTTAAATACTTTCTGTATACTTAGACAGTTTCTACATTAGATTAGATAACGAGCTAGTAGGAAAAGTTTTTTTTCCCTACGATTCTTTGCTTCACACAGATAATTTATGAGAACGTTCAGATCCAGAAGCTAGAGTATGGACTGTGAGCTGCTAAAGCTTGCTCAGTTACAAATTAGCAGCAGAGCAGACCAAACTTCCCGCCATCAATCTAAGCAGAGTTAGTCCACCCAGACCCTCAAATGATGACTTGCTGAAACACAGGAACTTGGATTTTTACAGCATCTACACCAATGTTATCCCTTAATTTCTTACTGTGTGTATAATATGTGTATGGGGGGGCACATGCCACTGTGTGCTTGTGGAGGACAGAAGACAACTTTGTGGAGTCAGTTGTTTTTTTTTTTAAACTTTTTTTTTTATGTGTACGCGTGTATTGCCTGCATGTAGGTAAGTGCACCCGTGTCATGCAGTGCCCACAGAGGTCAGAAGAGGCTGTCAGATCCCCTGGGACTGGAGTTATGGACAGTTGTTAGCTGCCATGTGGGTGCTGGGATTCAAACCCTGGTCTTCTGCAAGAACAACCAGTGTTCTTAACTGCTTAGCCATCTCTCCAGCCCCCAAAGTCAATTCTTTCTTCCCAGTATGTATGGGTTTCAGAGACTGAACTCAGGTCAAAGGCTTGTGTGTTAAGTGCATTTACCTGCTGAATCATCTCACTGGCCCACCAATGCAATCTTGTATGTAAAAGAATGATAATATGCTGGGCATGGTGGCGCATGCCTTTAATCCCAGCATTTGGGAGGCAGAGGCAGGCAGATCTTTTGTGAGTTCAAGGCCAGCCTGGTCTACATAATGAGTTCCAGGATAGCTGGGGCTACCAGGAGACCCTGTCTCAAAAAGACAGGAAAAAAAAAAAAAAAAAAGGTAAGAGTAGTGAAGATGACTCAAAATGAAATACTCACCGGAAAGATAAAGTGATTGATGAAGATTGTAGTAGACAAAATAGGAATATGTAAGCAATGTTAACATGTTTTTTTTGTTTGAGACATGTCTCACTATATTCGTTCAGACTAGTCTCAAACTGTCAGGATCAAGGACTGTCCTTCCTCAGTTTCCCAAGTTGAGGTGTGTCACTATCTGGCTTAAAATGTTTTTCTACGGGCTGGAGAGATGGCTCAGCGGTTAAGAACACTGGCTGTTCTTGCAGAAGACCTGGGTTCGAATCCCAGCCACTCACATGGCAGCTAACAACTGTCCATAACTCCAGTCCCAGGGGATCCAACAGCCTCTTCTGACCTCTGTGGGCACTGCATGACATGGGTGCACTTACCTGCAATACACGCATACACATAAATTTTTTTTTAAGTTAAAAAATCTTTGTTTTTCTAACAAGTTTTTTTTTTTTTTTAATCAAGTACAGCATGTACATATTCTAAGTTTCTAGTTTGATGAGAATTCATGTAACTAGCACTCAGAACATAATCAGCACTCAGAAATTCTCTCCCCACCAGAACGAAGTACCCAAAGTTGTAACCACTATCCTAACTTTGTTTTAAAATGACTATATGTGCCAGGCGTGGTGGCGCACGCCTTTAATCCCAGCACTCAGGAGGCAGAGGCAGGCAAATCTCTGTGAGTTCAAGGCCAGCCTGGTCTCACTATGTAGTGAGCTCCAGGACAGTTGGGGCTACAGGGAGACCCTGTCTCAAAAAGACCAAAAAATATATATATATTATATGTATGTGTGTGTGTGTGCCTGCATGAGGTTATGCATACCATGTGTAGTATATGTTGTCTGGAAAGGCTAGAAGAGGGCATCAGATACCCCTGCTTCTGGAGTTTGGGGTGGTTGTGGATGCTAAGAACCAAACTCAGGTCCTCTGCAAAAACAGCCAATGCTCTTAATTGCTAAGCCTTCTCTTCAACCACAACTACCCTAACTTCTAATACAACATATCTGTTTTGCTCTTAACAGACTACTTAATTTATCTTATTATTTATTTATTTATTTATCTATTTTTTATTTATTTTGGGGGTCTTTTTTGAGACAGGGTCTCCCTGTAGCCCAGCTGGCCTGGAACTCACTATGTAGACCAGGCTGACCTTGAACTCACAGAGATCCACCTGCCTCTGGCTGGGATTAAAGGCATGCGCCACCACACCCAGCTTTTTTTTAATATATATAGTTTTAGTGAATCTTTGAGCATTTCATACATCTTGACCATATTTAGACCCCTCCCCTCTCTGCATCCTCCCCTCCACACATACCAGATTTCATACATTCTGTCATATCTGTTAAGGCCTAGCCAGTCAAGTTTGTGTCTCCAGATGTCCTTTGGTGTGAGTTCATCCACTGGAGCCTGGTCAGTTTATCTAGCATCACTGCCTTAAAGAAGACCAACTCTCCCTCCCCAGCAGTGATCAGCTGCCAACAGTTCCTCAGATAAGACTGGGACTTTTTACTCATTTCCCCAGTTCTGTGCTAGGTTTTTGACTGGTTTGAGTTTGCATGGGTCTTGTGTATTCTGGGCACCACTGATGCTAAGTTCATGTGAACAAATTCCCAGCCACCTGGAAAACCCTTGTTTTC